CCCAACAAAAGAAGAGGCACGAAAATGTTGAAATCTTACCTGATGAGATGGTACTTAGGGGAACCAGTCCGTGAGTGGAGAGCTGAAATGTGTGAACCGGATCGCGGTGACGCATTTCACACAATGAGATGCTGCTGATGCTGCTGCTGGTGCTGATGCTGCTGCTGGTGCTGATGCTGCTGCTGGTGCTGATGCTGAGCTCCGGTCATTCAGGATGCTCTGCTGCCGCAGTCCGCTCAGTCCGCATCCAGGGCGGCACTTCCCACCGCAGGTTAGCGGGAGAACCCCTCAGCGGGTATCAAAGAAAAAGACAAAGGAACAGGTCTGCTTCTCCTCCGGTTCTCCTCTGAATGAAGAGCTGCAGCTGCGTTACAGGTCCACCAGTCAGCCGGCAGGGGTGGGCTCTTTCTTTTCCCCTCCTCCCATATGGAATATGTACAACTCTTTGCACATTAGGTCATGCCTAAATCATAAAATGACAGAGGTAAATTAAATTCTTCCGTTCCGTGAAGAAATGCATGTCGCCCGCCACCTTTCTTGTCAGAATTTTTGATTAATTTCATTTTACAGCGATACTTTAATTTCACATCCGGAGTGTGAGCTGTGAATGAGTCTCAGCTACTACCACGCGAAAGTTTAGCTCAACATCTGTAAAACTGACCGAGTTATATTTGTGTGTTTTCTAAAGTCAAGTGGCATGAGGCAGCCATCTTTAAATGGGTTGGCTCCAAAAGTTAAACTGTTCTAGATATGCATCTAAGTATTTTTTTTTCCTGAACGTGTCAATAAAATCCATCCAGTGGTTCATAAGATATTTAGCTAACAGACAGAGAGAGTCGACTCCAGTCAGATGACAAGGACTCGAACTGTTTAAAGGTTGAAGCCTAATTTTGAGCAATGGAAACGGTCCACGCATGTCACAAATCATCAAAGTTGAGAAGCTGCTGGGCCACATTTCATTTACAGAGTAATAAACATTATGGGATGCTGGGTAAACATGAGTGCAGTATTATCCTGCTCAGCTGAATTTAATCAGCGCCATCATAGCTGTCAATCACCTTTCAATCAATATTTATTCCAATATAAAAGTTGAAGTCAGGCCAGAGGTTTCAGAATGTGGTGGAAGTTGATCTAAAACCAACTTTAAATATTGTGCATGACCTCTGGTTGAAACACAATTTTTTTAAAATGTCAGTATACAAGATAAGATAAGAAAAGGGTTTGGAACCTGCGGTTCATGGGGCCACATGAGGCTCTTTGCTCACTCTGCTCGTTCCAGTAAAAAAAAAACTCCACACAACAGAAGAGTTTTATTTATTCATTTATTTATTTATTTGTATCTTGTGACCATTTTGATTTGGTTGGCCTTCATTATTCCAACATTAAGGCTTACTGTTACGGTTAATAGTGGATCCAAGTCAGGAAAGCCGACCGACACGAGGAGTTCAAATATAAAACAAATGTTTAGTTAAAGAAACAAAGCAAAAAGTCTGGCGTGGACACAAAAACCTGGAGGAACCACAAAGAAGAACATGGGAGCACAAGTTTGTGAGCAGGGGCTGATGAGACGAGTGGAAACAGCTGAGCATAACGACAACTGGAGACAGGTGCGAGCGGGTGGAGCAGGAGCTGAAGGAGCAGAAACCGACCGAGGAGAAAATGGCTGACAACAAGAACAAAGGTAAAGAAATGAAGAAACACAATAAATAACACAAAACAGTACAACGACGTGAACATCCAACAGAGTCACGAGCACAGAAAACTCAAATCCTGACGCACACGGTGAAGTTTCTCTAAAATCCAGCAGGAGCTTCATTTTTTTTTTTTTTTTTTTTACCACATTTCAGGTCACCTGCTCAGGATGAAACTCAGTAAACCGATTACTGTAACACAAGTCATTTAGTTTTAGTTTAAGGTTTACCTTAAAACAACTTAAAGTTCTGCCTTTGTTACTTTTTTCACAAATGAATGGTGTTTATCTCAACTCTAATCATTTATTAGGACAAGTATGAACTTTATTTTCTCACGTCTCTGCAGGACAAGATTTTCTTTTTTCCAAACAACTGTCAGTAAATGTCTAATAAAGTGCAGATGTTGAATTTTACAATCTAATAAACAACAGATTTTGTACTTCTAAAGCTCTCAGGCAGTCGTGTTATCTTTATGTAAAACTTCAAGTTTGTTTTATATGTTTGCGGCTCTGGATACGTCTTATATAGCGGGAGAAGAGCTCTTTTGATTGGTTGCAGACCTCTGGTGTCAATCCCTTGCAGAAAATTGTTTTGTTACAGTAACGATGTCATAAAACGACTAAAAACAAATATGTATAAAGACTTATGATGCAAACTGTAATGGTAGATGTTTTATTATTTTTACAGTGTAGCCTACTACTTTTTACAAGATGAATGAATAAATAAACAAATGCAGATTTTATTGGTTTGTGCGATACATTTTTAGGCGCTTTAATTATCCAACAACTCAAATTTCATCCAACTATAAGAAAAGACTGTAAAGAGCTACTTATAATAAAACGTGCAAATATACATCGAAATGTTTGGCTCGAGAAGAAATAGTGCGCTGTGAATGTGTTGTTTCAGTGTAAACAACAACAACAAAAAAGTATGAACAAATCAAACGACCCATGGGCAACAACAGAAGAGAAAACCTGGCCCTCTTCGGGACTCTGCAGCTCAGACTGGATTCACAGCCGAAACATCGTTCAAAGTTTAAACGGGTCAAATAAATTTCACGACTGAACTGGCATTTTTTACAGTTTTTACACAGAAAGTCTTTAAATTTTTTATACATTTTCCTACAAAATGATGGCTTGATGTCACAAACACTAACTTTTAAATCCCATCCATCTTTTACCCACTTCTTCCTGTTTGGGTCACAGGGGTTACAGGTGTCCATATCCAGCAGTCACTGTGTGAGGGGCAGGGGACACCCTGGACAGGTCGCAAGTCCATCACAGCAACATGGAAGCAAATGTGACAAACAACCATTCACTCTCTCACTCACACCTAGGGACAACTTAAAGTTACCAATAACCCATGCATGCACAGAGAGAACGTGCAAACTCCACCCAGAAAGTCCCGGGTCAGGTTTTGATCCGGTGACCTTCTTGCTGAGAGACAACAGCTCTACCAACTTTATATAAAACATAGGAACCCTGTTTGACAATGACCAACACAAAACTTAGCTTTAACTCAGTCCGTTTTCAGATACTGAACCTTAATTTCATGTGGTAGTAGCTGAGAGTCACACAATGTACAAGTAAGTTTCTTTCAGCTGCTCCCGTCTTCAGCGAACTCACATGAAAGATTTGGCAATTGTTTTAAGCTGGATGCTTTTCCTGACGCAACCTGGGCTCGAACCCACACCCTCAGGATTACAGGACCACTGACCCCCAAGCTAATGCAGCCCCACTATTCACACAACATACTCCACATGTTGTATCCCATGAAACTGGGCATCGTTTTGTTTTCAAGGTAGGATCACAGTGACTGGCGCGTGTCATTTCTCAACATAACTTGATCTTAAATTACAATTCTGATTTGAAAAGCGCTGTAAATTTGGCCTTAAATATTGGAATTTGTCAAGAAGTTTAGTCTTGATGTAGGAATTAAAATGAAGTCTTGCGGTGCATCATCTTCACAGTGTTGTAATGTGTAGTATGTGTTTAACTAAACTCAGCAGTATTTCCTCCTCCTCTTCCTCTCTCTCTGCTTTAATGGCTGTTCAAGATGTTTTAGCTCAGTGGAGTCATTTTGCAGCGTCCATCGTCTCTGTTCCTGATGCTCGGATCGAGCGCCGCACTCTTCTCTGACATCTCCATCACAGGTCGGATACAGTACGACCCACTGTTTCACACCTTCACACCCCTGGTCTCGTTGATCCTGTTGGTGTCAGCTGTTTTCAGTCTGCTGCAGCAGCAACACAACCACATGCTCAATCCTGTCACCAAAGAAGACTTTGCAAAACACCACATTCAGTACCTATTTGTTTTACAGCCAACTTTGAAAAAAAAAAATCTAACTTTCTCAGCATCAGCTTTGAAAAGATGGAAGTAAAAATGTACAGACCACATTTCAGATCAGATGTTTAAAACCGTAAATCTGACAAAATACACAATTTTACTGTTCTGGGTTAGAATTTTTGTACAAATGTTTCATCTGTGATTAAAGAAACTCACAACCACATAATTTGTAATAAATAAACAAAACCAACAGATTCATGTTTTGTTGTCAACACGTACGAGTCTGTTGTTGGCACACGATGGGTTTTGAGTCGGTAAAACAATCCCTGGATGTAAACAAAGTCAGAGGATGAAAAATGGAATCAGAGACGCCACATCGGAAGCAAAAATGTAAAGCTCTTCTGTTTTACAAACCTTTTTTCGGAACCACTTTGGCCTTGATCGTCCTCAGGCTGTTTCTGTGAGTAGCAAGTTGGTCATCTGGACTAAAACATTTGATTGTTGTACATGATGATTGAGTGTTTTGGACGAGAGAGCCCTGTTTGCATGTGATAAAAGCCTGCGTTTGAGACTCCAACAGGAAGTTGACTTGAAACACAGCAGTGAATGCTACCTATGGGACAGATCTGGTTGGCAGGCCGTAGAGTGACAAACTTGCGGATGGGAGACGAAAAGTTTCTCACTTAAAGAAACTGGTCCAGATACGATTTAACCTTTTTTGTTGTTCTCTACCTGGATGATTGCACTTACAAACATATTTTCTTCTGTCTTCTTCGGAAAAGAAATGACTAAAAGCTGTGAGGCAGAGTCGACATAATTCTGGGAGAGGAAATATACCGCTGGAGAGCGTTAAAGCAAGAAGTAAGGCTAATGAGCTGAGCAGAGATATTCCGAACTCTAACGGGAGATTTCCGACAACTGATCGTAAATGATCCTAGATCGTAAATGAGCCACACGATGAAGATCTGGGAAAGAGTTGTGGAAGCTAGACTTAGACGAGAGGTGACTATCTGTGAGCATCAGTATGGTTTCATGCCAAGAAAGAGGACCACAGACGCCATCTTTGCTTTGAGGATGCTGGTGGAGAAGTACAGAGAAGATCAGAAAGAACTCCATTGTGTCTTTGTAGATTTTGAAAAAGCATATGACAGAGTGCCGAGGGAGGAGGTGTGGTATTGCATGAGGAAATCTGGAGTGGCAGAAAAGTATGTTAGACTGGTACAGGACATGAGGACAAGAGGACAGTGGTGAGATGGGCTGTAGGAGTGACAGATAGCGTCAAGGTGGGAGTG